TATATATATATATATATATATATATATATATATATATATATATATATATATATATATATATATATATATATATATATATATATATATATATATATATATATATATATATATATATATATATATATATATATATATATATATATATATATATATATATATATATATATATATATATATATATATATATATATATATATATATATATATATATATATATATATATATATATATATATATATATATATATATATATATATATATATATATATATATATATATATATATATATATATATATATATATATATATATATATATATATATATATATATATATATATATATATATATATATATATATATATATATATATATATATATATATATATATATATATATATATATATATATATATATATATATATATATATATATATATATATATATATATATATATATATATATATATATATATATATATATATATATATATATATATATATATATATATATATATATATATATATATATATATATATATATATATATATATATATATATATATATATATATATATATATATATATATATATATATATATATATATATATATATATATATATATATATATATATATATATATATATATATATATATATATATATATATATATATATATATATATATATATATATATATATATATATATATATATATATATATATAATATGACTTGGCCGAAGGGTTCCAGATCGGGAAAATTCAAGATCTGACTTTTGAAGTTCAGGGACTTATCAACAAAATCACTTATCCTTGTGAGAGAAGTTGATGTCCGCCATAAATAGGGGAAGGAGGCAAGCAGTGGCACACACCGCTGGCGTTGTCTCCCCTGCGAAGTCAACTGAACCGTCAGTCATGATATTTCCCCGTCTTTTGGTAAGACCGTACAGAAGTCTAAATTTTCTTAGATAAATCCTCTTACAGTGTGCCACTTCATACTTTCTTTATAGTCAATGTTCATTTGAATTATGAAATATCATTTATGGGAATAGTTAAGGATAAGATTTTCTCTATTTCAGATCGTGGTTTTGGCCTTAATGGCAATGGTTTACTCGGCGAAGGCCGGTGGAGGTGGAGGAGGTGGCTTTGGTAATGCCGGAGGCTTTAGTGGCGGTGGAGGAGGGTTTGCTGGACACGGTGGATCTGGTGGATTTAGCGGAGGTGCTGGAGGAGTAGGTGGAGGAGCCCGAGGATTTAGCGGAGGAAGCGGTGGGCATGGCGGACGAGGTGGAGGCAGCGTCGTTCGCGCGCGCTTGGTCGGCGTTGGCGTTCTTCCTAGCGTTGGTGGCGGTTCAGGCTTCGGCGGTGGCAGCGTCGGCGGCGGCGGCGGTTTCGGCCAAGGCGGAGGACGAGGAAGCTACGGATGGTAATCTGTATGCACGACGGCCAATTCTGTCGACTCGATTTCGACCGTTTCTGCACAGGAAATAAAATTGAAAAAAAAAAAAAAAAAAAAAGTTTGTTTCTATGATTTATTACCATTCATAGTGTACATAAGCAGTAAGAAAATCTTTCATCGGTATCATACTCCTTTCATCTGAATCAATATATGTATATATATATTCTTTCATACATATTTTTTTAAACATTAGATAAACATTATATTTACATATGCGTATATATATATATATATATATATATATATATATATATATATATATATATGTGTATATATCAAATTCAGATCATCTTAGATTTTTTTTATTCCATTTACATACTCTCTGTACATATAGCTTTCTTCATCTCTATCTCTATCAACGAATATCTACCTTTCTGTCTTTTGTATGTATGTATGTACATGCATACATAAGCTTATATGCACGTATTATGTATGAATTACTTAGATTAAAATTCTGACCCAAAACAACAAGATAATCTAGTCTCCCTCTATTTCCTTGCTGTCACGCATGGTGATTTTTTTTTTTTTTTACGTTTAATAACGTGCATCTTGAATAAAGGAATGAAGGCGCACGATCATTGCTGCATCTCATTCTCTTCCTTTTCTCTCGTTCATTTACGAGAGAAAAGGTTTTATTTACATACTCTCTGTATATGTAGCTCTGTTCATTTCTCTATTGACTTTTCTGTCTATATGTGCTTACATCTATACAGATATCTATCTACACACACATATATAGTATGCTCTTTATGAACAACTTAGGCTTTTTAAATAAATGAATGACGAAGGTCAATTCGTGCCATTAGTCATTCCTTTTTATTTCTCGTTAAGATACGAAAGCTGAATATATTGGTGACTACTTAATCGTAGAATTAAGATATGAAAAATCATATAAAGACAATGCCAAGTTAATTATGCCTATGTGAAAAGTAATGAAGAACATAAAGGTATGAGCTTGAAGACCCCCTTAAACAACATAATCTAAGGGCGGTGTTTATCCAACCCTTCTATGACTATATCTCTTATTTTCATCTTTATAACTGTCAGTTTCTCTAGCTCTACCACTATTTCAGTTTATTCATCTGTCCTTTTTTTCTTTCTTTTCCTCTATCTCTATGTTTCCATATCTACAAAATGTTTGAGTTTGTGTATGCCTGAGTATGTATGCTTAAGTGAAAAAATAAAGGCCAAATAATGTTTGTAGATGAGGATAACTAAAAGCTAGTGATTTTTATATATTTCACTGAGAAGCATAAATACAAGCTTGCCTTACGGAAATTCCAATATCACAATACGTGAATCAAGGTTATTCATAAGGATAACTCTTTTCTTTTCTTTTTTTGCACATAGGGAAAAATGAAAATAAACAATTCTTACAATGCATGACTTGCTAAAAGATTTCAGATCTAAAAAAAATCAAGATTTCAGTTATGAAGTTCAAGGACATCTCAGCCAAAGCATTTGTCCTTGTGGAAGAAGCAGATGTCTGGCATAAATACGAGACAAAGCAAGCAGCGGCACACATCGGTGGCGTTGTCTCCTCTGCGAAGTCAGTTGAACCACCAGCCATGATCCCTCCCCGTGCTTTGGTGAGACAATGAGATCGTATAGCAGTTTAACTTGCATTAGCTTAATCCTTTTAAAGTGTGACACTATTCTTTTTCTTTAGTCCATTTTATTTGTATTGCGAATTTTCTTATCTTAGACGTGTTTAAAGCATGAATGCAGTGCATAGTGTTTTCCTCTCTTCCTTCAGATCGTGGCTCTAGCCTTAATGGCAATGGTTTACTCGGCGAAGGCCGGTGGAGGAGGATACGGGAGCAGAGGAGGCGGTGGAGGAGGTGGCTTTGGTAATGCTGGAGGATTTAGTGGCGGTGGAGGAGGGTTTGCTGGACACGGTGGATCTGGTGGATTTAGCGGAGGTGCTGGAGGAGTAGGTGGAGGAGCTCGAGGATTTAGCGGAGGAAGCGGTGGGCATGGCGGCGGACGAGGTGGAGGCAGCGTCGTCCGCGCCCGCTTGGTCGGCGTTGGCGTTCTTCCTAGCGTCGGTGGCGGTGGCTCAGGTTTCGGTGGCAGCAGCGTGGGTGGTAGCGGCGGTTTCGGCCAAGGCGGAGGACGAGGATCCTTCGGTGGAGGACAAGGAAGTGGCGGAGGAAGCTACGGATGGTAATCAATCATCTCACTTAAAGATCTTTCTGTCACCCTGATTTCAAATACATCTGCGAAGAAAATAAAATTACGGAAAGCAAGAACGTCTTTCTCTATTTCACCACTATTCGGAGTATATAATCAGTAAGATTTTGTTTCCTTTTTTCAAGTAAACACATAAATCAAGCACTATACATCCTTGATCTGATTGATTAAGTATATTACACACACGCACACACAGATGCATATATATATACAAATATGAATACATGTATATATACATATAATCTACATAAATACACACATAATATATTTATATATGTATATATACATATATGTATATATCTATATACAAAGAAATGAGTATATATATAGATATGAACAAATATATGTATATATTCAAATATACATACATACATATATATGTGTATATATATATATATATATATGATTTGATTAATGTTTTTCACTTCTCGCAGTAACTACATATGTAGTAAAGTTTCAGTTTTGTCCTTAACTTGGTAATAAGTAGTAAAACATCTATACATTGGATTAGTAATCTAAATCACAAATCACTGATGAACACACTACATAAAACGAATAAATGTTTATCCGATATGACTGTGTGTCTGTCTGAAATGCCTAAGAAATTTCTGGAAGGAATCAAATAAAAATTCAGATTTTATTGAAATGTTGATTGTACGTGTAAGATCTACTAATCTATTTACCTTTCTTTCTGCCTATATATCTACATATGAGAGTGTGTGTGTACATATATATGTGTGTGTGTGTTTGTGTGTGTATACGCATATATATATATATATATATATATATATATATATATATATATATATATATATATATATACGTATATAGATATATATCATATACTGTCACGTTTGGCAATTGTGTCACATCTCACAATAAGCATTAAAAATAAAGAAAATTGCTATAGATTATTGTTGTTCTTAACTTGGTTAGAATTAGATAAACATCTTTACTACGAATTAGTCTATCAAATCACAAAGCACTGCACGGAATCAATTTAAGATTAAATTTAAAAAATATTTTACTAACATGCTGCCTGTATGTGTAGCTGTATCTATATCTATCGAACTTTCTCTCGGTCTATATGTAACTGTATATACATACATGCATGCATACTTCTACACATACATATTGTGTTTGAAATGACAAAATGATCTACTCTCCAACGCTCTCTGCTGTCACGTTTGGCGACTGTGTCACATTTCACAACGTGCATGTGAAAAATAAAATGAATTAATAGAAAGGTAGTCTATCAGTGCCATAGATTCTTCTCTTCATCTTTCTCATTAAGATAAGAAAGCCTAATAAACTAGCAACTATTACTCTAGAATATCTATAGAATTGTGAATTAATAAATAAATCATCAACAACCTACCGGTTTATTAATTATCTACCAGTCTTAGGTACCAGATTCAAGACATTATGGCTAAGTGGAAAATGAAGTGAACAAAAAGGCAATTGCTTAGTCTTCATCAATACAGTAATTCTACCTCTATTTCTATCTACCATTCTGTTTGTCTGTCTCTTTGTACTTGCATATATTCAGAGTGTACTTGATTAACAGAAGCAGTCGTGTTAAGAACTGATGATTTTGATGTATCTTAATATATTCCATCTAGCTTGCCTTTCGGGAATTCAAAGATTGTGTTAACTGAATCATAGTTAGTCATAAGAAAAAGGATAATATTTTTCACATAATCGGAAAAAAAATAGTTACAATCATGACTTGGCCGAAGGGTTCCAGATCGGGAAAATTCAAGATCTGACTTTTGAAGTTCAGGGACTTATCAACAAAATCACTTATCCTTGTGAGAGAAGTTGATGTCCGGCATAAATAGGGGAAGGAGGCAAGCAGTGGCACACACCGCTGTCGTTGTCTCCCCTGCGAAGTCAACTGAACCGTCAGTCATGATATTCCCCCGTCTTTTGGTAAGACCGTACAGAAGTCTAAATTTTCTTAGATAAATCCTCTTACAGTGTGGCACTTCATACTTTCTTTATAGTCAATGTTCATTAGAATTATGAAATATCATTTATGAGAATAGTTAAGGATAAGATTTTCTCTATTTCAGATTGTGGTTCTGGCCTTAATGGCAATGGTTTCCTCGGCGAAGGCCGGTGGAGGCGGATACGGAAGCAGAGGAGGCGGTGGAGGAGGTGGCTTTGGTAATGCTGGAGGATTTAGTGGCGGTGGAGGAGGGTTTGCTGGACACGGTGGATCTGGTGGATTTAGCGGAGGTGCTGGAGGAGTAGGTGGAGGAGCTCGAGGATTTAGCGGAGGAAGCGGTGGGCATGGCGGCGGACGAGGTGGAGGCAGCGTCGTCCGCGCGCGCTTGGTCGGCGTTGGCGTTCTTCCTAGCGTCAGCGGCGGCTCGGGCTTCGGTGGCAGCAGCGTCGGTGGACGAGGACGAGGAGGTGGCGGAGGAAGCTACGGATGGTAATCTTTATGCACGACGGCCAATTCTGTCGACTCGATTTCGACCGTTTCTACACAGGAAATAAAATTGAAAAAAAAAGTTTGTTTCTCTGATTTATTACCATTCATAGTGTACATAAGCAGTAAGAAAATCTTTCATCGGTATCATACTCCTTTCATCTGAATCAATATATGTATATATATATTCTTTCATACATATTTATGTATGCATTAGATAAACATTATATTTACATATGCGTATATATATATATATATATATATATATATATATATATATATATATATATGCATATATATCAAATTCAGATCATATTAGATTTTTTTATTCTATTTACATACTCTCTGTACATATAGCTTTCTTCATCTCTATCTCTATCAACGAATATCTACCTTTCTGTCTTTTGTATGTATGTATGTACATGCATACATAAGCTTATATGCACGTATTATGTATGAATTACTTAGATTAAAATTCTGACCAAAAACGACAAGATAATCTAGTCTCCGACTTTCCTTGCTGTGACACATGGCGATTTTTTTTTTCTTCTTCTTCTTTTTACGTTTAATAACGTGCATCTTGAATAAAGGAATGAAGGCGCACGATCATTGCTGCATCTCATTCTCTTCCTTTTCTATCGTTCATTTACGAAAACTCAAATCAATTGCCAATAATTACTCTCGATTGTTTATATAATCAGGTTTTATTTACATACTCTCTGTATATGTAGCTCTGTTCATTTCTCTATTGACTTTTCTGTCTATATGTTCTTACATCTATACATATATCTATCTACACACACATATATAGTATGCTCATTATGAACAACTTAGACTTTTTTAAATAAATGAATGACGGAGGTCAATTCGTGCCATTAGTCATTCCTTTTTATTTCTCGTTAAGATACAAAAGCTGAATATATTGGTGTCTACTTAATCGTAGAATTAAGATATAAAAAATCATATAAAGGCAATGCCAAGTTAATTATGCCTATGTGAAAAGTAATGAAGAACATAAAGGCATGAGCTTGAAGTCCCCCTTAAACAACATAATCTAAAGGCGGTGTTTATCCAACCCTTCTATGACTATATCTCTTATTTTCATCTTTATAACTGTCAGTTTCTCTAGCTCTACCATTATTTCAGTTTATTCATCTGTCCTTACTATCCTTTTTTCTTTCTTTTCCTCTATCTCTATGTTTCCATATCCACAAAATGTTTGAGTTTGTGTATGCCTGAGTATGTATGCTTAAGTGAAAAAATAAAGGCCAAATAATGTTTGTAGATGAGGAGAACTAAAAGCTGGTGATTTTGATATATTCCACTGAGAAGCCTAAATACGAGCTTGCCTTACGGAAATTCCAATATCACAATACGTGAATCAAGGTTATTCATAAGGATAACTCTTTTCTTTTCTTTTTTTGCACATAGGGAAAAATTAAAATAAACAATTCTTACAATGCATGACTTGCCAAAAGATTCCAGATCTAAAAAAATCAAGATTTCAGTTATGAAGTTCAAGGACATCTCAGCCAAAGCATTTGTCCTTGTGGAAGAAGCAGATGTCTGGCATAAATACGGGACAAAGCAAGCAGCGGCACACATCGGTGGCGTTGTCTCCTCTGCGAAGTCAGTTGAACCACCAGCCATGATCCCTCCCCGTGCTTTGGTGAGCCAATGAGATCGTATAGCAGTTTAACTTGCATTAGCTTAATCCTTTTAAAGTGTGACACTATTCTTTTTCTTTAGTCCATTTTATTTGTATTGCGATTTTTTCTTATCTTAGACGTGTTTAAAGCATGAATGCAGTGCATAGTGTTTTCCTCTCTTCCTTCAGATCGTGGCTCTAGCCTTAATGGCAATGGTTTACTCGGCGAAGGCCGGTGGAGGAGGATACGGGAGCAGAGGAGGCGGTGGAGGAGGTGGCTTTGGTAATGCTGGAGGATTTAGTGGCGGTGGAGGAGGGTTTGCTGGACACGGTGGATCTGGTGGATTTAGCGGAGGTGCTGGAGGAGTAGGTGGAGGAGCTCGAGGATTTAGCGGAGGAAGCGGTGGGCATGGCGGCGGACGAGGTGGAGGCAGCGTCGTCCGCGCCCGCTTGGTCGGCGTTGGCGTTCTTCCTAGCGTCGGTGGCGGCGGCTCAGGTTTCGGTGGCGGTAGCGTGGGCGGTAGCGGCGGTTTCGGCCAAGGTGGAGGACGAGGAGGACGAGGATCCTTCGGTGGAGGACAAGGAAGTGGCGGAGGAAGCTACGGATGGTAATCAATCATCTCACTTAAAGATCTTTCTGTCACCCTAATTTCAAATACATCTGCGAAGAAAATAAAATTACGGAAAGCAAAAACGTCTTCTCTATTTCACCACTATTCAGAGTATATAATCAGTAAGATTTTGTTTCCTTTTTTCAAGTAAACACATAAATCACGCACTATACATCCTTGATCTGATTGATTAAGTATATTACACACACGCACACACAGATGCATATATATACAAATATGAATACATGTATATATACATATAATCTACATAAATACACACATATATATTTATATATGTATATATACATATATGTATATATCTATATACAAAGAAATGAGTATATATAGATATGAATAAATATATATATATATTCAAATATACATACATACATATATATATGTGTATATACATACATATATATATATATATACATATATAATTTGATTAATGTTTTTCACTTCTCGCAGTAGCTACATATGTAGTAAAGTTTCAGTTTTGTCCTTAACTTGGTAATAAGTAGTAAAACATTTGTACATCGGATTAGTAAACTAAATCACAAATCACTGATGAACAAACTACATAAAACGAATAAATGTTTATCCGATATGCCTGTGTGTCTGTCCGAAATGCCTAAGAAATTTCTGGAAGGAATCAAATAAAATTCAGATTTTATTGAAATGTCGATTGTACGTGTAAGATCTACTAATCTATCTACCTTTCTTTCTGCCTATATATCTACATATGAGAGTGTGTGTATACATATATATATGTGTATATACATACATATATATATGTGTATATACATACATATATATATATATACATATATAATTTGATTAATGTTTTTCACTTCTCGCAGTAGCTACATATGTAGTAAAGTTTCAGTTTTGTCCTTAACTTGGTAATAAGTAGTAAAACATCTATACATTGGATTAGTAAACTAAATCACAAATCACTGATGAACAAACTACATAAAACGAATAAATGTTTATCCGATATGACTGTGTCTGTCCGAAATGCCTAAGAAATTTCTGGAAGGAATCAAATAAAAATTCAGATTTTATTGAAATGTCGATTGTACGTGTAAGATCTACTAATCTATCTACCTTTCTTTCTGCCTATATATCTACATATGAGAGTGTGTGTGTACATATATATATGTGTATATACATACATATGTATATATCTATATACAAAGAAATGAGTATATATAGATATGAATAAATATATATATATATTCAAATATACATACATGCATATATATATGTGTATATACATACATATATATATATATATATATGTATATATATATACATATATAATTTGATTAATGTTTTTCACTTCTCGCAGTAGCTACATATGTAGTAAAGTTTCAGTTTTGTCCTTAACTTGGTAATAAGTAGTAAAACATCTATACATTGGATTAGTAAACTAAATCACAAATCACTGATGAACAAACTACATAAAACGAATAAATGTTTATCCGATATGACTGTCTGTCTGAAATGCCTAAGAAATTTCTGGAAGGAATCAAATAAAAATTCAGATTTTATTGAAATGTCGATTGTACGTGTAAGATCTACTAATCTATCTACCTTTCTTTCTGCCTATATATCTACATATGAGAGTGTGTGTGTACATATATATGTGTGTGTGTGTGTTTGTGTGTGTATACGCATATATATAGATATATATATGTATATAGACATATATCATATACTGTCACGTTTGGCAATTGTGTCATATCTCACAATAAGCATTAAAAAATAAAGAAAATTGCTATAGATTATTTTCATCCTTCTCATTAACATACGGAAACTGGCTGGCAACCATTACTCTAGAATATCTACAGAATACCAAAATTAAGGGAAAGTATCACATAAATAACTTACCAAATTCAACAGGTATCTAGCAGCGCTAGGTACCAGGAACAAATAATTATGGCTTGGTGGAAAAATTGGGGAAAATGGCATTTGTTTCAGGTCTCCATCAGACATATAGAGGAATTGCTTATCAAGTTTTGATCAACACTCTCTACATCGTTATCTCTATCTTTATCTCTGTCAATATATCTAGTTCTAGCTCTTTTTTCTATATATACCTCTACCTCTACTTCTACTTTTATATTGGTCTCTTTTGTCTGCCTATCTCTGTGTGTGTGTTTTTGAGAACTTGTATCTATATGGGAGAGAACGGAAAATATAAAGAAAATAAATGCTGGAGTACATGATTAACTGACCCAATTATGTTTGAAGATAACTAAGAGCTAATGATTTTGATTCATTCTATGTAGAACCATTAAATCCTAGCCTGCCTTTCGGAAATTCCGTTTTTTTCTTTTTCTTTTTTTTTCTTTTTACATAATGGTGAATTAAGAAATAAGAGAATAATAACAAGTCATGACTTAGCGGAAGATTTAAAATCTGAAAAATTCAAGACTTTAGTTTTGAAGTTCGGGGATATATCAGCAAAAACACATGTCCTTGTAGAAGAAGTTGGTATCTGGCATAAATACGGGAAGGAGGCAAGCGGCGGCACAGTGTTGTCTCCCCTGCGAAGTCAGTGAAGAGGCAGTCATGGTGCTTCCTCGTTCTTTGGTGAGTCAGCGAGATCATACAGTAGTTTAAATTTCATTAGCTGAATCCTTTTACAGTGTGTCACTTTGTAATTTTCCTTTACTTCTTTATTTGAATTGCGCAATGTTATACCTAAGTCTTGTGATTTAAGAATGAATGCCATACATGTTTTGCTTTCCTCTTTCAGATCGTGGTTTTGGCCTTAATGGCAATGGTTTACTCGGCGAACGCCGGTGGAGGTGGATACGGGAGCAGAGGAGGCGGTGGAGGAGGTGGTTTTGGTAACGCTGGAGGATTTAGTGGCGGTGGAGGAGGGTTTGCTGGACACGGTGGAGCTGGCGGATTTAGTGGAGGTGCTGGAGGAGTAGGTGGAGGAGCCCGAGGATTTAGCGGAGGAAGCGGTGGGCATGGCGGCGGACGAGGTGGAGGCAGCGTCGTTCACGCGCGCTTGGTCGGCGTTGGCGTTCTTCCTAGCGTCGGTGGCGGCGGCTCAGGTTTCGGTGGCGGTAGCGGAGGTTTCGGCCAAGGTGGAGGACGAGGAGGAGGAGGACGAGGATCCTTCGGTGGAGGACAAGGAAGTGGCGGAGGAAGTTACGGATGGTAATCCTTATGCACAACGACCATATCTACAAAGGAAATAAAACTGCAAAAAGCAAAAACTCTGATTTATTACCAATCACTTTTTTTCAAACACTGATCTCATACCACTGTTATACTTATTTGATCTGAATTGATATATATGTGTGTGCGTGTTCATTAATTTATATTTATGTATACAGTAGATAAACATATATATTTACATGTATATAGAGATTTACAATTTGATCTAATATTTATTTACACTCAAAGATATATATATATATCACATTCATTGATAACTACATGCACTCGTTCGCAGAAAAAACGATATATTTATCCGATTTTTGTTTCTACTTATACTTTTGTTTCTTCTAACTTGTTAGCAAGTACATAATCTTATCATTGCAACACATTAGTAAATCCCAAATTACTGTTTGAATATACTGCACACTACATATACCTTGACATGAGTGCAATATGTATGTGTGTGTGCGTGCACGTGTGTGTGTGTGTGTGTGTATGATGCTACTTGGGAACATGATCAAATCAGATTTTTTATTCTATGTACATACTCTTTATACCTGTAGCTTTCTTCATCTCTATCTACCTTCGTTTTTTTTTTTGCATATGTATGTACATACATATGCAAAGTGAATACATGTTTACATACGGTAAGCATATATTCACATATTATGTATGAATTATTTAGATTAAAATGTTGACACAAAGCGACAAGATAATCTATTCTCCGATTTCCTCTGCTGCCACGCATGGCATTTTTTAAATATCTAATAATATGCATTTTGAATATATGAATTAAGGAGATAGATCATTGCTACAGGTCATTTTCTTCCCTTTCTTTCGTCTATGTACGAAGATTCAAATCAATTGCCAATAATTATTCTTTATTATCTATATCATCAGGATTCTGATTGTATTTACATATTCTCTGTATATGTAGCTCTGTTCATCTCTCTACTGACCTTTCTGCCTATATGATATATCTGTCTTCACACACATATATCGTATTCTGTTTATGAATAACTCTCTTAAACAACATAAGCTAGAGGAAATGTTTATTGAGACCTCATCAATTCTACGTCAAAATCTCTTCAGCTTTATTACTGTCACTCTCTAGCTCTACCTTTGTTTCATTCTATTCATCTGTTTTTTTTTTTTCTTTGTTTCTCTCTATTTTTACATATATACTTTTTTGTGTGTGCTTGTATACGTATGGGCAAGAAGTGAAAAAATAAGAAGTAAATAATGAAGTACCTGGTTAACATATGCAATCATGTAAATAGGGATAAGTAAATGCTGCTAATTTTGATATATTCCACTAAAAAGCGTCAAATATAAGCTTGTCTTACGGAAATTCCAATATTACATTAAGTGTATCAAGGTCAGTCATAAGTAAAAAGGATAAGTTTTTTTTTTACATAAGGAAGAATGAAAAACATAAACAATTCTTACAATTCATGACTTGCCAAAAGATTTCAGATCTGGAAAATACAAGATTTCAGTTTTGAAGTTCAAGGACATATCAGCAAAAGCCCATGTCCTTGTGGAAGAAGTAAATATCTGGCATAAATACGGGAAGGCGGTAAGCAGCGGTACACATCGCTGGCGTTGTCCCTCCTGCGAAGTCAGCTGAATCGTCAGTCATGATCCTTCCCCGGCCTTTGGTTAGTCCATTTATATTTGAATTGCGAAATGTTACACCTTAGACTTGTGATCTAAGAATGATTGCAATACACAGTGTTTTCCTCCCTTCTTCCAGATCGTGGTTTTGGCCTTAATGGCAATGGTTTACTCGGCGAAGGCCGGTGGAGGCGGATATGGGAGCAGAGGAGGCGGTGGAGGAGGTGGCTTTGGTAATTCCGGTGGATTTAGTGGCGGCGGAGGACACGGTGGAGCTGGTGGATTTAGCGGAGGTGCTGGAGGAGTAGGAGGAGGAGGATTTAGCGGAGGTGCTGGAGGAGGATTTAGCGGAGGAAGCGGTGGTCGAGGTGGAGGCAGCGTCGTCCGCGCGCGCTTGGTTGGCGTTGGCGTTCTTCCTAGCGTCGGTGGCGGTTCAGGTTTCGGCGGTGGCAGCGTCGGCGGCGGCGGCGGCGGTTTCGGCCAAGGCGGAGGACGAGGAGGACAAGGATCCTTCGGCGGAGGACGAGGAAGTGGCGGAGGAAGCTACGGATGGTAATCGTTATGCACAACGGTCATTTCTGTCGACTTGATTTCGACCATATCTTCAAAGGAAATAAAACTGCAAAAAGCAATAAGGTGTTTTTCTCTGATTTATTACCGTTCACTTTTTTTTCTTTCTTTCTTTCTTTTTACCCATTCGCGACGGGAAAAATGAACAAAAAATGGGGAAAATGTTGTGCTCATTTTCATATTTTTGTTGTGAAATGTCTCTACACATAGATGGCTCTGCCTTACCTGATTTCACCTTTCCTTGAATTGGCGGTAAAATGTATTTTTACTAGTCCTATGAATATCGATGGTGTTATTTTTTATTATGAACATTATAATTACTATAATGTTATAAACAATAGTAATACCAAAATAAGATAACGTAAAATATTTCCGTAAGTTAAAGAAAAGGGTAAACGGGCGAGACAGGCAGTACTCGTAATTGGCTCATTGGTGTTTTAGCATAAGTGTAGCCATCTATGTGTTAAAACAATTAAACAAACTCACACACGGGCATGTCACGTATACTGACAGCCCGTCGCGAATGGATTAACATGCGATCTAGCATCTCTATTATACTTATTTGATCTGAATTGATATATATATATGTGTATTCACTTATTTATATATATGTATACAGTATATTTACATATATATTTACATATGTAAACATGAAAGGAAAATAGCCACAGTAAGAAACGAAATTGGAATGTACATTTTACATTTCAATTTCGTTTCTTACTGTGGCTATTTCCCTTTCATTTTTGTGTACACGTTATTGTGTTTGTGTCATATGTAAACATATAGATACATAATTCGATCTGATATCTAGTTGCACTCAAAGATATGTATATTCCACATTCATTAGTAACTTGTTCGCAGAACTGACATTTTTATCCAATTTTTTTTTTTTTTTTTTTCTCCTAACTTGTTCGTAAGTACATAAACATATCTTTACAACACATTAGTAAATCCGAAATTACTGCTTGAACATACTGCACGCTACATATACCTAAATATGTGTGCACTTTATGTGTGTGTGTGTTATGCCAGAGATGCTTGTAAAAAAAATCAGATTTTTTATTCTGTTTACATGGTCTGTACCTGTAACTTTCTTCATCTCTATCTCTATCTTTATGTCTTTCCGTCTTTTGTATGTATGTGTGTACAAACATACATAAGCCTATATACCCATATTATGTATGAATTACTTAAATCAAAATGCCAAAACGACAAGTTTATCTCCTATTCGACTTTCTCTGCTGTCACGCATGTCATTCTAATAACGTACAATTTCAATAAATGAATTAAGGCGATCGATCATTGCTCGTCAATATGTGAAACCAATAATTACTCTTGATTAGGATTCTGAATGTATTTACATACTCTATGTATATGTAGCTTTGTTCATCCCTGTATCGACTTTTCTGTTTGTATGTGCTTACATCCATACATATATCTATCTACATACGCACTTCTTAGACTTTTTGAATAAATAAATGACGGTCAATCAGTGCCATAGATCATTTTGTTTCTCGGTGAGATACGAAAACGGAATATATTGGCAACAACTTCTCTTCAGTGCCTATGTAATCGTAGAAATGAAAAATAATAATTAAACAAATAACAAAATAACAATAAAATGCCAAGTTTATCATAGCTATGTAGACATTTTAGATGAAATAAATGCATGAGCTTATCTTATCTTATTTTATCTCTTATCTTCATCTTTATCACTGTCGCCTTCACTAGCCATACATTTATTTTCAACTGTCTATTTCTTCTTCTTTTATCTCTATCATTACATATATACAAAATGTTTGTTTATGTGTGCTTGTATCTGTTTGGGCAAGAAGTGAAATAATAATAATAATAATTATATATATATATATATTGACGAGGTTAACAAATGCAATCATGTTTCTAGATGTGGGTAACTAAAAGCTAGTGTTTTTGATATATTCCATTGAAAAGCGTTAAATACAAGCTTGTCTTGTAGAAATTCCAATATTACATTGAGTGAATCATGGTCACTCATATAAGTAAAAAGGATATTTTTTCCCATAAGGACGAAGGAAAAACATCAACAATGCTTACAATTCATGACTTGCAGAAAGATTTCAGATCTGGAAAAATCAAGATTTCATTTATGAAGTTCAAGGACATTTCAGCAAATCCGTGTGTCCTTGTCGAAGAAGTAGATGTCTGGCATAAATACGGGACAAAGGCAAGCAGCGGCACACATCGCTGGCATTGTCTCCCCTGCGAAGTCAGCTGAAACGCAAGTCATGATGCTTCCTCGTCCTCTGGTAAGACAATGAGATTGTACAGGAGTTTAAGTCTCATTAGCTGAATCCTTTTATGGAACTATATTCCTTTTCTTTAGTCTATTTTAATTTGCAATGTAATTTTTTTTATCTTAGACGTGTTTTAAGCATAATGTTTCATTCTCTTCTTTCAGATCGTTGTTTTGGCCTTAATGGCAATGGTTTACTCGGCAAAGGCCGGTGGAGGAGGATACGGGAGCAGAGGAGGCGGTGGAGGAGGTGGCTTTGGTAATGCCGGAGGATTTAGTGGTGGCGGAGGAGGGTTTGCTGGACACGGTGGAGCTGGTGGATTTAGCGGAGGTGCTGGAGGGGTAGGTGGAGGAGCCAGAGGATTTAGCGGAGGAAGCGGTGGGCATGGCGGCGGACGAGGTGGAGGCAGCGTCGTCCGCGCGCGCTTGGTCGGCGTTGGTGTTCTTCCTAGTGTAGGCGGCGGCGGTTCAGGCTTTGGCGGCGGTTCAGGCTTTGGCGGCGGCAGCGTGGGCGGCAGCGGCGGTTTCGGCCAAGGTGGAGGACGAGGAAGTGGCGGAGGAGGCTACGGATGGTAATCATTATGCAGAGCGGTAATTTCTATCAACTTGATTTCGACTGTATCTGCAAAGGAAATAAAACGGCAAAAAGCAAAAACGTCTTTGTTTCTCTGATTTACATTCTCAACGTACGCGAGAAAATATGATCCCTCATCAGTATCACATATACTTGACTTGAATCGATTATATATATGCATATACAATTGTGTATATATATTTTATCTAATATATACCAACATATGAATCCATATGTGTGATTGTGTGTGTAATGCCAAAGATGCTTCTGAACGAAATCAAAGTCAGACCAAATCATTAAATATGATTTTACATATCCTCAATACATGTAGATATTTTCATCGTTCTATATATATATCTACCTTTCTATCTGTATGTACATGTCTATACACACGTATTATATTTGTATTACTCAGATTAAAATGCTAAGAATAAAAAATGGCAAGATATTCTACTCTTCTCCTTTATCTGCAGTCTGGCGATTTTTCCACCTATGATAACTAGCATTTTGAATAAATCAATTAAGGCGATCGATCAGTGCTACAGATATTATCTTCTTCGGTAATTTGTGGAAACAGAATTAATTGGCAACAATTACGCTTGATTATCCATGTAATCAGGAATCTGAATTTATTTGCATACTCTGTATTTGTAGCTCTATTCATCTCTCTCTATCGACCTTTCTGTCTCTATTTACATTCATATATATCTATCTCTACACACACACATACAGTATGTTGTGTATGAATCACAGATTTTTTGAATAAATGAATGAAGGTCAATATGCGCCATAGATCATTCTCTTTGCTTCTCGTTGAGAAAACTGAATAGATTGGCATGAAATTATGTTCATTATCTACATAATCGTAGAAGTAAGAAATTAAAGCCACATCAAGACTCTGTTATATATCTTATGGCTAGATAGGAAATTTAGATGAACAAAAAGGCACGAGTCTGAAGTCCCCTTTAAACGACATAATCTAGTAGTGTTTATTCGGACCTTATCAATTCTACGTCTATCTTTATCTTCATCTTTATAAATTTCTCTATGTCCATCTCTATCTTCATCTTTACCAATTTCCCTTTCTCTATCTCTATCTTCATCTTTATCAATTTCTCTATATCTCTGTTTCGGTGTGCCTTTTGTCTATCTTATTATTTTCCTTCCTTTTTGTTACCTGCCTTTATCTTTACATATATACAGAGTGTTTATCTTTGTAAATGGTCTAGAAGTGAAATAATAAAGGCAAACTAGTGGGTGAGAAGTGAAGATATAGAAGCAGAATAATGCCACGTGATTAACAGATGTAATCATGTTTATTGGTGTGGATAAATAAGGGTTGGGGATTTTGATATATTTCATTCAGAAGTGTCAGTTACAAGTTTAATTTACGAAAATTCCAAAATTACGTTAACTGAATTATGGTTGCTCAAAAGTAAAAAAAGAATAAGACTTATGCATAACGACGAATGAAAAATATAAACAATTCTTACAATGCATAGCTTGCTGGATGATTACAGATCTGGAAAATTCAGGATTTGACTTTTGAAGTTCAAGTACATAACAGTAAAAGCGCATGTCCTTGTAGAAGTAGGTCTCTGGAAGGAATATTGGAAGGAGCAAACAGAAGGACACATCGGTGGCGTTGTCTCCCCTGCGAAGCCAATTGAAACGCCAGTCATGATCCTTCCCGTTTTCTGCTGAGACAATGAGATCGTAAAATCTGGTTTTCATTTGTAAGCCCAGTTACAGTGCATTACCTGAATATTAGGTTTCTTATATGTCTTTTTCATTCTCTTTGGAATACAAAAAAGTTACCTTAGCAAAATGAGGTAATTATGAATATATTGTACTTGTTTCTTTCCGATCGTGGTTTTGGCTTTAATGGCAATGGTTTACTTGGCGAAGGCCGGTGGAGGCGGATACGAAAACAGAGGAGGCGGTGGAGGAGGTGGTTTTGGTAATGCCGGTAGATTTAGCGGCGGTGGAAGAGAATTTGCTGGACACGGAGCTGGTGGATTTAGTAGAAGTACAAGAGGATTTAGCGGAGGAAGCGGTGGGTATAGCGGCGGACTAAGTGGAGGCAGCGTCATCCGTGTAGGCGGTAGGCGGTGGCATTCTTCCTAGTGTCGACAGCGACTCGGGCTTTGGCGGCGGATAGCGTGGACGGAGGCGGCGCTTTCGGCCAAGGCGGAGGATGGTAGTAATCGTTCGCAAAGGATATTTCCGTAACTTACCTCAGCGTAGGAAATAAAATTGCAAAGATGCCAACATGTCCTTCTATCTTTTTTTACCAAAAATATATATCAGACACTTTTCCATTTAATTTATCTATATATGTGTGCGTGTGTGTGTATTTATATATGTGATGCACGATAATGAAGCGGAAACCAGTCAGGAACGAGTATATTTCTTGAACTCTTCCTAAAATGATAATCACAGCTCTTCTGCGATCATGGTATGGTGAAGACATGCACAGACATATAAATACGTAGAGTTATGCCACTTATGTAAACTTGTATGTGTTTTTTTTATACCTAATCTCTTTTTTATACCTAAACTATTTTCATATCGATACGGAGGTATTCGCTTAGTTAGGAATGAAAATATTCCAGAAAAAAGTATACTATAAGACAAACTTAGACATAAGACTTAGTATACTATTAGACAAACTTATCTTAAGCCACATTGGCGTGAAAGACAGACATGACAAGATAATGGCTCTGACATCTTCAGTTGTCCAGTGTGATTTTATAATATTTTGTAATATAAGAAGTGTGTGTGTGTGTTTGCTTAATTGTGTGAATATAAATTTTTCATATGATTGAACAGTAGCTTGGAAGCTATGAAGCGGACAAGGGGAAGAGCCCCAAGGCCAGCTAACTAAATATATACTACAGTAATGAGTCCCCCTTTTTTTTTCTTTTTTTCTTTTTTTACACGAACAAAGAAAAAGAATATTGCTCACAATAAGCGCCTGATTTGATGACATGTCACACCCCAGAATCCTCGTAAAGTACTTCTATCCTATCATTAGCTTCGGGAAACTGTTAAACGGCTAGGGTAGAAGCTCAGTTGTCCTTGTAGACTGAAATGCTCCTCGGTATAAAAGGCTGAAGCAAGTCGAATAGCACCACATATCGCCTGTGTTCTCTCCTGAACCAAGTAGTAGTCATGAAGTTTTACAAATCATTGGTAAGAAAATAGTATTTCGTCTTCCTTCTTTTTAGAGATGGTGTTTGAGGTGGTCTTTGGTATTTAGAAATGTTTACAAATTCATATTAGGAAGAATTGAACATATACATATGTATGTGTTTTTATGTGTGTCTGTTTGTACGTACATGTGTGTCTTCAAATGTATATATGATCCACATATATAAAGAGACAGATAACTAAATAGGCGAAGGCATATTAGTAAATATATTGTCTGTATCGACATTTAATTTACTTGTTTATTTCTCTCTCTAACCCTTACCCCCCGTTTCTCTCTCACATATGAACACACACATATATATGTGTGTATTCATAAATATATATATGTACATGGGTGTGTGTGTGTGTGTGTGTGTACATACAAATATAGAGAGAGCATGCTTTTATTTATTCACGCATTCACAGATTCGCAGGGTGTGTGTGTGTGTGTGTGTGTGTGTGTGTGTGTGTGTGTGTGTGTGTGTGTGTGTGTGTGTGTGTGTGTGTGTGTGTGTGTGTGTGTGTGTGTGTGTGTGTGTGTGTGTGTGTGTGTGTGTGTGTGTGTGTGTGTGTGTGTGTGTGTGTGTGTGTGTGTGTGTGTGTGTGTGTGTGTGTGTGTGTGTGTGTGTGTGTGTGTGTGTGTGTGTGTGTGTGTGTGTGTGTGTGTGTGTGTGTGTGTGTGTGTGTGTGTGTGTGTGTGTGTGTGTGTGTGTGTGTGTGTGTGTGTGTGTGTGTGTGTGTGTGTGTGTGTGTGTGTGTGTGTGTGTGTGTGTGTGTGTGTGTGTGTGTGTGTGTGTGTGTGTGTGTGTGTGTGTGTGTGTGTGTGTGTGTGTGTGTGTGTGTGTGTGTGTGTGTGTGTGTGTGTGTGTGTGTGTGTGTGTGTGTGTGTGTGTGTGTGTGTGTGTGTGTGTGTGTGTGTGTGTGTGTGTGTGTGTATTCACGCATTCACAGATCGCAGTGGTGGCGCTTGCAGCCATGGTTTGCATGGCGGCAGCCGGCGGTGGATATGGAGGTGGAATCGGAAGTGGATTTTCAGGCAGTGGATTTAGCCATGGTGGAAGTGGCGGATTCGGTGGTGCCACAGGATTTGGAGGAAGCAGTGGATTCAGCGGCGGTGGATTTAGCGGAGGAAGCGGCGGGTATGGCGGTGGACGAGGTGGAGGCAGCGTCGTCCGCGCCCGCTTGGTCGGCGTTGGCGTTCTTCCTAGCGTCGGCGGCGGCTCGGGCTTCGGCGGCGGCTTCGGCCATGGTGGAGGACGAGGATCCTTCGGCGGAGGACAAGGATCCTTCGGCGGAGGACGAGGATCCTTCGGTGGAGGACGAGGAAGTGGCGGAGGAAGCTACGGATGGTAATCATCATACTCCAAGAACATTTGGCTTGAAACATAGAAATATATCTCTGTTTCTGAAGATATATAAAACAACAAAAGAAAGTTCTTGTTATTATATAACCTTATACATAACATAGAAATATAGAAAAATATCTTTGTTTCTCAAAAAAAAAAAAAAAAAAAAACAGGTCTTGCTATGATATAATCCCTTGCACAATGTGGAAAAGGAAAATTAAGTTGAACAAATGGTATAATCTTCCATAGTGAACGGGTAGAGAAGCTTTCCTGTATTTATCAGTTCCAATTCCACACTGAAGAGAATGTCGATACATGAGAGATAAACTGAGAAAACGATGAGTCTATCGGAAAGATATCCTAACAAACGGCAACAATTATGGCAATAAGAAAGGATGGTAATTATATCAATAATACCAATACTAAGGATAAAACTACGCAAATTGAATAATGTATTATCTTCCAATCAGACGCTAAACTGCTGCATGCCGTACATATTTTTTTCGGGGATCTACCAGTTTGGAAAAAATATACATATAAAAAATAAAAATATGATCTACCTTCGCACATATATAGATATGTATTCCTTGAAATATCACTGCCATATGGATACCATTTGGTAAGAGTTGCAGTACCTCAACATTTGGTTGTATACTTTTTTATATTTCTTTTTCTTTCTATATGAAAAACATAATATTTTACCCTCGTAAAATGTGGTAACGTTGACTACATTTCTTTCCTTTCAGATCGCTGTTTTGACTGTAATGGCAATGGTATACCCGGCGAAGGATATGGGAGCAGAGGAGGCGGTGGAGGAGGGTCTACTGGACATAGTGGAGCTGGTGGATTTATCGCAGGTGTTGGACGATGAGGTGGAGGAACCCGAGGATTTGGCGGAGGAAACGGCAGGTATGGAAGGAAACTAAAGATGGTAGTATTAATTATCCTCAAAGGACATTTCCATAACTTCGATTAACCTACCTCTCCGTAGGAAATAAAACTGTAAAGAAGCCAACAAAACAAGTTTCCTTTTACCAAAATATAGACTAAACCCTTATCCCTTTAATCTATATGCGCGGGTGTGTTTGTTTGTTATGGATGTATTGCCTTCATAATTTGATTTAATAAAAAGAAAATCAGTCAGGAACGAGTATATTACTTGGAATTTTGCTAAACATTCACACATTTGAATACATAGATATTAATAGATATATGCGAAAGTATGTACATTTGCATGTGAATTTTTTGTACCTTTTCTCTTCCAATTATTTTTATATCGGTAAGGAGGTATTCCCTATAAAGGAATGGGTATATTCTAGAAAACAAAAAACAAAACAAAAAAGTTTCTCAATAATATAAAACAAACTTTTAGTTGTTAGAAGTAGCATTAGTGGTCTTACTATCAACGTCATTATTATTTCATTACGCATACAAAAGTACGATAATTATGCCATTCCTTTTTTATATTTACCATAAATGAGTTCAACAAGAAATATATAACTTTAACTAATATTACGGGCAACCCATGATCAATAATATTAACCAAAAGTCAGACGATTCACTCAAAATTAAAAGGGACAGCCAAATTGTCTAATAAAACGAATACGTAGTGCGCGCGCGTCCGCACGTGTGTGTGTGTGTGTGTGTTTTCGCATGCAAGTGTATTTGAATGAATATCAATTTTTCATATGATTGAACAGTACCTTGGAAACTATGAACCGGACAAGGGGAAGAGCGCCAAGGCCAGCTAACTAAATATATGTCGCAATAATGAGTGTCTTTTTCCTTTTTTTCATATGAACAAAGACAAAGAAAACGAATATTGCTCACAATAGGTGTCTGATCTGATGACATCTCACACCCCAGAATCCTCGTAAAGTAATTCGATCCTATCATTAGCTTCGAGAAAATGATAAACGGCTAGGATAGAAGTCCAACTGTCCTTGGCGACTGAAATGCTCCTCGGTATAAAAGGCTGAAGCAAGTCGAATAGCACTACATATCTCCTGTTTTCTCTCCTGAGCCAAGCAGAGCAGCCTGGTAGTCATGTTGTTTTACAGATCACTGGTAAGGAAATACGAATTCATCTCTGTTCTTTTTAGAGGTGGTCTTTGATGTCTCTGGTCTTTAGAAATGTTTACAAACTCACATTAGAAAGACTCTTGGACATGTATATATGTATGTGTGTGTTTGTGTGTCTGTGTTTATGCGTACATGTGTCTATAAATGTGTATATGATCCACATATACATATATATACATATATATATACATATATATAAAAAGACATGTAACTAAAGAGATGAAGATGTAGACGTAGATATATTGTCAGTATCGACATTTAATTTACGTGTTTATTTTTTTTTCTATCCCCCCAACCCCCCCCCCCCCTTTTTCTCACACACGCACATTCACACACGTGGGTGTATATATATATATATATGTGTGTGTGTGTGTGTGTATATATATACATATATATGTATATATATAAATATATGTACATATATAAATATAAGTATGTGTTTACATACATATATAAAGGGAGAGAGCATGCGTTTATTTATTCATGCATTTACAGATCGCAGTGGTGGCGCTTGCGGCCATGGCTTGCATGGCGGCAGCCGGCGGTGGATATGGAGGTGGAATCGGAAGTGGATTTTCAGGCAGTGGATTTAGCCATGGTGGAAGTGGCGGATTCGGTGGTGCCACAGGATTTGGTGGAAGCGGTGGATTCAGCGGCGGTGGATTTAGCGGAGGAAGCGGCGGGTATGGCGGTGGACGAGGTGGAGGCAGCGTCGTCCGCGCCCGCTTGGTCGGCGTTGGCGTTCTTCCTAGCGTCGGCGGCGGCTCAGGCTTCGGCGGCGGCTTCGGCCATGGTGGAGGACGAGGATCCTTCGGCGGAGGACAAGGATCCTTCGGCGGAGGACGAGGATCCTTCGGTGGAGGACGAGGAAGTGGCGGAGGAAGCTACGGATGGTAATCATCATACTCCAAGAACATTTGGCTTGAAACATAGAAATATATCTCTGTTTCTGAAGATATATAAAACAACAAAAGAAAGTTTTTGTTATTATATAACCTTATACATAACACAGAAACATAGAAAAATATCTTTGTTTCTCAAAAAAAAAAAACAGGTCTTGCTATGATATAATCCCTTGCACAATGTGGAAAAGGAAAATTAAGTTGAACAAATGGTATAATCTTTCATAGTGAACGAGTAGAGAAGCTCTCCTGTATTTCTCAGTTCCAATTCCACGCTGAAGAGAATGTCGTTACATGATAGATTAACTGTGAGAAAACGATGAGTCTATCGGAAAGATATCCTAACAAACGGCAATAAGAAAGGATGGTAATTATATCAATAATACCAATACTAAGGATAAAACTACGCAAATTGAATAATGTATTATCTTCCAATCAGGTGCTAAACTGCTGCATGTCGTACATATTTTTTTCGGGGATCTACCAGTTAGGAAAAAATCTACATATAAAAAGTAAAAATATGATCTACCTTCGCACATATATAGATATGTATTCCTTGAAATATCACTGCCATTTGGATACCATTTGGTAAGAGTTGCGGTACCTCATCATTTGGTTGTATACTTTTTTATATTTCATTTTCTTTTTTCATGAAAAGCAAAATATTTTATCCTTGTAAAATGTGGTAACGTTGACTACATTTCTTTTCTTTCAGATCGCTGTCTTGGCTGTAATGGCGAAGGATATGGGAGCAGAGGTGGTGGAGAAGGATCTACTGGTGGATTTATCGCAGGTGTTGGACGATGAGGTGGAGGAACCCGAGGATTTGGCGCAGGAAACGGCAGGTATGGAAGGAAACTAAAGATGGTAGTATTAATCATCCACAAAGGACATTTCCATAACTTGGATAAACTACCTCTCCGTAGGAAATAAAACTGTAAAAAAGCCAACAAACCAAGTTTCCTTTTACCAAAATATAGACTAAACCCTTATCCCTTTAATCTATATGCGCGTGTGTGTTTGTTTGTGATGGATGTATTGTCTTAATAATTTGATTTAATAAAAAGAAAATGAGTCAGGAACGAGAATATTACTTGAAATTTTGCTAAACATTCACACATTTGAATACATAGATATTAATAGACATATGCGCAAGTATGTAAATTTGAATGTGAATTTTTTTGTACCTTTTCTTTTCAAATTATTTTTATATCGGTAAGGAGGTATTCCCTATAAAGGAATGGGTATATTCTAGAAAACAAAAAAACAAAACAAAAATGTTTCTCAATAATATAAAACAAACTTTAAGTTGTTAGAAGTAGCATTAGTGGTCTTACTATCAACGTCATTATTATTTCATTAGGCATACAAAAGTACGATAATTATGCCATTCCTTTTTTATATTTACCATAAATGAGTTCAACAAGAAATATATAACTTTAACTAATATTACGGCTTACCCATGATCAATAATATTAACCAAAAGTCAAACGATTCACTCAAAATTAAAAGGGACAGCCACTACGAATACGTAGTGCGCGCGCGTGCGCACGTGTGTGTGTGTGTGTGTGTGTGTGTTTGTGTATGTGTGTGTGTGTGTGTGTGTTTTCGCATGCAAGTGTATTTGAATGAATATCAATTTTTCATATGATTGAACAGTACCTTGGAAACTATGAACCGGACAAGGGGAAGAGCGCCAAGGCCAGCTAACTAAATATATGTCGCAATAATGAGTGTCTTTTTCCTTATTTTCATATGAACAAAGACAAAGAAAACGGATATTGCTCACAATAGGTGTCTGATCTGATGACATCTCACACCCCAGAATCCTCGTAAAGTACTTCTATCCTATCATTAGCTTCGAGAAAATGATAAACGGCTAGGATAGAAGTCCAACTGTCCTTGGAGACTGAAATGCTACTCGGTATAAAAGGCTGAAGCAAGTCGAATAGCACTACATATCGCCTGTTTTCTCTCCTGAGCCAAGCAGAGCAGCCTGGTAGTCATGTTTTACAGATCACTGGTAAGGAAATACGATTCCGTCTCCGTTCTGTATAGAGGTGGTCTTTGATGTTTAGAAATGTTTACAAACTCACATTAGGAAGACTCTTGAGCATGTACATGTGTGTCTATAAATGGGTATATGATCGACATATATATATATAAAGAGACATGTAACTAAATAGATGAAGACGTAAAATTAGATATATTGTCAGTATCGACATTTGATATGCTTGGTTATTTCTCTCTCTATCCCCCTCCCAATTTCTGTCTCACACATGCATAAATGTGTGTGTATACATGAATATGTATATATATGATTATGTGTATGTGTATACATACATATAGAGAGAGAGAGCATGCGTATATTTATTCATGCATTCACAGATCGCAGTGGTGGCGCTTGCAGCCATGGTTTGCTTGGCGGCAGCCGGCGGTGGCTATGGAGGTGGAATCGGAAGTGGATTTTCAGGCAGTGGATTTAGCCATGGTGGAAGTGGCGGATTCGGTGGTGCCACAGGATTTGGAGGAAGCAGTGGATTCAGCGGCGGTGGATTTAGTGGAGGAAGCGGCGGGTATGGCGGTGGACGAGGTGGAGGCAGCGTCGTCCGCGCGCGCTTGGTCGGCGTTGGCGTTCTTCCTAGCGTCGGCGGCGGCTCGGGCTTCGGCGGCGGTTTCGGCCATGGTGGAGGACGAGGATCCTTCGGTGGAGGACAAGGATCCTTCGGCGGAGGACGAGGATCCTTCGGTGGAGGACAAGGATCCTTCGGCGGAGGACGAGGATCCTTCGGTGGAGGACGAGGAGGTGGCGGAGGAAGCTACGGATGGTAATCATCATACTCCAAGAACATTTGGCTTGGAACATAGAAACATATCTGTTTCTGAAAATATATAAAACACCAAAAAGGTCTTGCTATTATATAACCTCATGCTATTATATAACCTCATGAAAAGGGAAATTAAGTTGAATATATGGTATGAGTATATATATAGTGAACGGGTAAAGTAGCTCTCCTTTAATTCTCAGTTCCAATTCCACGGTGAAGAGAGATAACCTATGAAAAATAATGAACGTCCATCGGAAAAACGTCCAAATAGCAAATAACAACGATAATAGAAATATTAGTAACCACAACCATTATGACAATAAGAAATGATGATAATATTAATAACATCAATACTAATAGTCCACTAATTGAATAATGTATTACATCCCATTCAGATCCTAAACTGCATGCCGTACATATTCTACAGAGATCTTAAAAAGTCTTCAAAACGTGGTCACCTCCACACTTACGTAGATATGTTTTCCTTGGGATATCATTGCCATATGAAGATTGGATGCCATTTAAACAGACAGAGGGAAAGTAAGGTGGGTTGGCAGTGGCGTGAAAGTCTTTAAATGAATAATGATAGTTCAGCAGATTCATATATTTCAGGAAATGCCATTTGTGTTCAACCAGTGCCTGCCTCTTGAACAAACAGTTCTCATAGCATAGTTTCAACTGCCCCTATCCATTTAGGGTGTCCTTTTTTATTATTATTTTAATTTATGCATTTCATTCGAATTTACTGTCCGTAATAGCACTATTCATTCACAGCATATTTAACCCATTCGCGCCTAGTAAAAATGAACAAAAAATGGGGAAAATGCTGTGCTCATTTTTTATATTTTTGTAATGAAATGTCTCTACACTAGATGGCTCTGCCTTACCTGATTTCACCTTTACTTGAATTGGCGGGAAAATGTATTTTACTAGTGCTATGAATATCGATGGTTATTTTTATTATAAACATTATAATTACTTTAATGTTATAAACATTAGTAACAGCAAAATAAGATAACGTAAGATATTTTCGTAAATTAAAGAAAAAGGTAAACAGACGACACAGGCAGTACAAGTACAAGTGTAGCCATCTATGTTTGAAAACAATTAAACAAGTAAACTCACAGTGGGCACGTCACGTATACGTGGCACCCGGTGTGAATGGGTTAACCCTAGAACAGATTGACATTACCTGTTGCTGCTTGGCCCACTGCTTTCTCCGAGTAGGTGCTTTTTGGTGGGTCAGCTGCTTGCAATTGTTGAAATTTCCAAGGAACTATTACTCGACTTGACATCATTATACTTAAATTACAGAGGGTTTTCAAAGCAAAGTACTTGCATATTGAAGTTACTTCTTTATTAAGTAATAGCGTTGATTAGGAACACATAAGGGATATTTGTATACCATAAGAATGTCATAAAAAAATGTATTTAAGTGACAAAAGACATGTTGAAATAAAAATGTTTCTCAAGAGAAAGTACGATTTTTATCACCAAAGTTACATCACCAAAACTACTGTATTCATTAAATTCCCAAATACTACTGCAAGCCGACTGATTTCAGGGTACTTTCTGTTAATACATAGACACGGTACAAGGAGATTAAACATCAGCAAAATAAGAAAAAAATAACAAAAATAATTATAATGGTTAGAGGATATGAAAATCTTGCCGTGATGCTGGTTGTACAGGAATCTATTAATGAAACTGCTTACCGAGGAAGTATTGTTTAAAACATGTAAATGGATTAATATCAATAAAATATCAGTACATCTGGAGATCTATAGTCGTACATCGCCATGGCAAATCGTCAAAAAATTAAGTGAAAATAAATAATAATTTCGTTCAAATTTAGCTTAACAAGATAACAACACTGGTCTAAAATACTTGATTAAATCTTTTGGAATAATAAGATAATTAAATATGATATGTATAGGGAACACTGGCTCATAACATGACGTAACAGGCTTCTTCAAAGGCTGGCTGTAATGTAATAATTAGCAATGCGTTGTGGTTATCGAGTCGCCGCACTTACAATATAATTATAAATGTATACATGTAATACATAAGCAAAGAAACAAATGATGTATATTACCTTCACTAAATCAAAATACGTAATGTAATAACAGCAGACAGAAATGTAAACACTACCCATGAGTGCAGTGGTCCTTAACCTTTGCAAGCTCAGTCACCTCCGGCCATGACCGCGATCCCAATGCTCTACAAAAATATACAGCATTAAAAGGTAAGAACTATAATAATAGACATATACTGCTTGCTAACCTATGTAAATAAAGAAATCAAGCCCTTAAATCATTTAAAATTCAAAAATAGTATTGTGTAGTTTTATATTGGAAAGAAATAAGAATAGAAAGATGAATGAAAGACAATGAAAGATCGTAATGTAATTCGTGGATACTTGGCAGTGGCAGGCGAGAACCGCAACGTTTTCTATCATAAATGTCAGGAATGGAGGAGGGATAACTGAACTGAGCCAAGGTCGGATTTCGAATGACAGTGCGGTTCTCTTTCATTGGTGTGAGGCATTACTAAAGAATGCAAAGGAATTTTTCACTGTATATGGGAAAGGCGATGACATTTTACAGAAATACGTATGTAAAGTCTCAAAGATAATAATAATAATAATAATAATTAATAATAATAATAATAAACATGCAAAAGTACTGAAATCTAGCTATCACGAATAATTTGCATAAAGAGATTCACTCATTAAATGCCTTTTTTAATGTGTTAAAATCGTTTTTCTTTGCGTTTCTTGTTCTTATTATACCTCCAACTGTAATACATATAAAAGATGGAATTCAGTATAATTCACAAAAGATTTATTATAGGACATACAGAAAAGAAATTCCTTCTCCCTCCTCCCCCTTCCTATCCCCTCCGCTGCCCATGACTAAAAGAACTAGCCAAGCCACACTCTGCATATGCCTTCGGGTTGTTTCACTGATGATTGAGCAATAGACCACACTATCCAATGGAAGTGGTGTTTTTTTGTTTTTGTTTTTTTTGCTTGAAAAAGTTGATTAAGTTTTATGCCTCAGGATAGAGAGGTTATGTTTCAAACTGTTGGCGTAGCATCCAGTTTCATATGTAAAAGCACCCCCCCCCCCCGGCAACAAGGTATTGTAATTATTGTTGATTCTAAACCTTCTGTCGATGAGGATGGTACGTATGCATCTGCCAAGTCCACTTTCTCTCTCTCTCTCTCTCTCTCTCTCTCTCTATATATATATATATATATATATATATATATATATATATATATATATCCATCCTTTTGTGTGTGTGTTTACACATAGGTGGCTCCAATATCCCTTAGTCACCAATGACTGACCTTCCCTAATGAAGTGAAACAGTTGTCAAAGAAACTTCTCTCACTTCATATTTGTTTATCTATCTATCTATGCATGTATCTTTATATCTATACATTTGTCTGTCTATCTATTTCTATCACTGTCTATCTCTTTTCCCTCTTTCTGTTTGTCTTTGCAGGTACATTATCAGTATACTGTTTCATCATCACCGTATTCATTATCATCACATTATGTTCTCAGACGATTATATTGTTGCAGTTGTTTTTTATCACTGATATTAAAAAGGTAACACATTTCTTGTCAATATTCTTACTATCCTTACCATGTTGTATATCTAACATGCAAATTATCAGTTATGACTTCTTTCTCCTCTTTATATTTATGTATATATCTTTCTATCTTGGTTCGAGGTTAAGCTTTACGAATCGGATGCATTTTTGAAAGGAGGGGCATAAAAAGGAAGAAAAACCCTCTAAAAGAAGTGATTAAAGTGTATGCTCCATATTCACGTGTTACAAAAATATTATTATCTAGTTTCTATCTTGCTTATAGATAGATATTCTTATGATTTATTCATCTGGTAATTTCGGTTGAAAAGTAGTACCATACCAGCCGATAGCAAAATAATGGTAATAGTAAAAGGCAGATATTAAGGAAAGCTGATATAACCACAGGCATAAAAGAAAGCGATGTTACATATACTATCCACGAATATTTAGGGACATGATTTTGTCAGTTCTATCATGAAGATTGATAGTGTAAAACTACTTAAGATTTAGGACTGTATACAATAATTGCGCACATGGTCCACTACCTTTAAAAGAAAGGTCACATGTCTAACTCATTTACTTGTTAAATGGAAAGAGAAAACGTTGTTTTGCCAGAAATTAACGTCTCTCTCTTTCTCTTAAGAAATAAAATGTTTTTGTATTCACCCAGAAAAATTAATTCTGGAATAAGTAATGCTCTAGCAGAGGCATTGTAAACTATCGATGTTATGTATGAATGTCTGTGTACGCAAATAAACTTTCTCTTGCGTAATGGAATACCATATGGGATTTATTAATTTTAAGACCATTATGTCGAAATCGTACGCAGACACGAATGCTATAAATATCAATAAAAGACTTAGTGCAAAGCTTTTTTTTTTTTTTTTTTTAATTTATCAGTCAGGAAGAGTTACATCCGAGCGCGTAACTTCATTTTCCATAGCCACCGCTTCCACGGCCACTGCCCCCTCCGCCGCCGCTGCCAAGGCCGCTACCTCCGAATCCACCGCCTCCACTGCCGTTACCTCCAAATCCACCGCTTCCACCTCCAAATCCACCGCCTCCACTGCCGCTACCTCCAAATCCTCCGCTTCCACCTCCAAATCCACCGCTTCCACCTCCAAATCCACCGCCTCCACTGCCGCTACCTCCAAATCCACCGTTCCCACCTCCGAATCCACCGCCTCCACCGGCAGAGAGCTGTCCACTTCCGAGGAAAACTGCGGGGAGCACACTTCCGCCTCCACCGCCGCCGCCGCGACCTCCGCCGTATCCTCCCCCACCGCCGCCGCCGCCAAGAGCGTTGCCTCCTCCGAATCCCCCAGCTCCTCTTCCTCCACCAAACCCACCATTTGCTCCACCAAATCCACCACTTCCTCCACCAACACCTCTTCCAAATCCGCCTCCTGCTGACCCTCCACCCTGTCCTCCACCAAAGCCTCCTCCACCTCCTCTTCCTCCTCCACCACCTCTTCCTCCGCCTCCACCGCCTCCTCCACCATTACCATATCCTTCTCCAGCCGCAGCAACGTACACCATCGCCATCACGGCCACCATTACCACCTGAAAATATTGGATTCTCGTTAAAACTACAATACTTTACAAATGGTCTAACACAGGCCTACGTATCATAAACAAAATATCCTAGATTATTAACTAAACTTCTGCTCTCTCTCTCTCTCTCTCTTGGTACAGAAAAGGCAGCTTCCTCACCAATGGGCGTTTTAAAATCATCGTCCGATGTCTGGTCTTACTGTTACACGAGCAAAAGCAGACAGGCAAGTGTGTCACTGCTTGCAATTGTCCTCACATTTATACAGGGAGGGAGTGCAGTAGGTGCCCCTTTATGGTTAACACGTTTTCTGAACTTGTGCACGTTTTTCTCTTTTCTGGCAATTTGATATAAAGGGGCACGTCATGCAGCAATACCGTCTTTTTTATTGTTTATTGTTTATTGTTATCGTCTATGGTTTAGTGTATTTGGTCCATGAATTACAATTTCGGTATTTATTGTAACATTACATTCTCCCTTTTCGTTATTTGTTTAGCAGGATCTACATATTTAGTACGAACTGCAAACACATCTTAAAACTTAACAACACAACAAGAGAGAGATTTTTTGCTGTCAAAAAAGACCTTCCCTAACGGAGCAAAACAGCTGTCAAAAGAAAAAAAACATTAGCTCTAACAGTTAGGAAATATTCTTATTCCATATTTCATATTCACTATATACAGTTAGAGGATATTATACTTACTTTATTTCATTTTCCTCTCACTCACTGTATATTTGTTTATACATATATCTAACTATGCATGCATCTTTCACTCTATATTTGTCTCTCTATCTATTTCTATTTCCGCTTATCTCTATTCCCTCTTTCTATTTGTCTTCGCATGACCATCGCATTAATTACTATCACTCCAATATATTCTCAGACAACTTTTGTTCTAGAAAATTAGAAATTCAATAATTATATAATTTGCTGCTTTTGCCTGAAAATCGAAATCAAATGAAGCAAATGTCGAAAGCAAAATGGGCAAAAAAAAACAAAAAAACATATAAGTACAAAGGAGTTGATCAGTGCAAGAAATGTTAATTTGAATAAAGATTGTACCAAGAATTTTTTAATGTCTTACTTTTATTATTATAATGATCATTGTTACCGTTATTGTTATTATCATCATTGTTGCTACTACTACTGCAGTGTATTAATATTTATCATTATTATAGGTATTCTTCTTATTGTTATTATTGTTTTTGTTGTTACTGTTATTATTACTGTTATGATTGTTGTTATGTCATTTCCATTATTGTTATTATAACTGCCATTTTATCATATCATTGCAATTATTATCACTGTTATTAATAGAGGTAATACGTTTCTTGCCAATATTCTGACCATCCTTATCATGTTGTATAAGTAACATGCAAATCACTGCAGTTGGTGACAAATGTACAAAAAGTTACGAAAGATGAATAGCTTCAAATACGAGAGATGTGTTTAATCGTCATTTACCTATTTAGTGGAAAATGAAAAGCGGTTTGCCAGAAACTAATGTGTTCTCTTTCTCTCTCTCTCTTTCTCTCTCACTTTCTCTCTCTATATATATATATCTATATATACATCACTCAAGAAATTTCTTTTTTTTGTATTCACTCACAGAAAAAAATAATTTTGGAGCAAATAATACTTAAGTAGACATATTATAAACCCGTCATCCTTTCCACAGAAAATTATACCTAATTTTACACACACAGCCACTCTTCATAATGCCTAACATCTTCAGTTTATTAGACATCTTCATTTCTGAGTCCCTTTCAATATTTTACATGTGAGTGTGTGTCTGTCACACTCGTATTTATATAAACTTCTGAAGTGATGCATGATGAAATAGCACATGCGTAATGAAATACCACATCGGATTTTTTAAGTAAACATCAACGAAATCGTATGCAGATGCGAATGTTATAGATATCAAATAAAAGACTATAATAGTGCAAAACTATTTTTTACTTTCTTATATCTGGGTATATATACTTATTTTCCATAGCTGCCACCGGCCCCACGGCCACTGCCCCCTCCGCCACCGCTGCCAGATCCGCTACCTCCGAATCCACCACCTCCACTGGCGCTACCTCCAAATCCACCGCTTCCACCTCCAAATCCACCGCTTCCACTGCCGCTGCCAAATCCGCTACCTCCGAATCCACCGCCTCCACTGCCACTACCTCCAAATCCACCGCTTCCACCTCCAAATCCACCGCTTCCACCGCCGCTGCCAAATCCGCTACCTCCGAATCCACCGCCTCCACCGGCGGAGAGCTGTCCACTTCCAAGGAAAACTGCGGGGAGTACACTTCCGCCTCCACCGCCGCCGCCGCGACCTCCGCCGTAACCTCCTCCTCCACCGCCGCCGCCGCCAAGTGCATTGCCCCCACCGAATCCGCCAGCTCCTCCTGCTCCGCCAAATCCACCACTTACTCCACCAGCACCTCCACCAAAGCCTCCTCCACCTCCTCTTCCTCCTCCACTTCCTCTTCCTCCTCCACCTCCTCTTCCTCCTCCACCTCCTCTTCCTCCTCCACCACCTCTTCCTCCGCCTCCACCGCCTCCTCCACCACTACCATATCCTCCTCCAGCTGCAGCAACGTACACCATCGCCATCACGGCCACCATCACTACCTGAAAGTATTTAATTCTCTTTAAACCTTCACTATTCTACGAATGATAGACCCTATACTTCTCATTAGGATAAAAGTAGTCCTGGTTATTAATTAGACTTCTTCAAACTCGAATTAGCTTTTCTTTTTGAACAGACACACTAGCTTCCTCACCAATGGGCGTTTTAAAATCATTCTCCGATTTCCTGTCCTACTGTTAAAGGAACAAAGGCAGAGGTAAGAGTGTGGCACTGATGCAGTTGTCCTCATATTTATACAAGGCAGGGTATACACTCAGTATGCCTTTATGTCTAGCATGTTTTATTTTTTGGTGTGTGTTTTTTTTTTTTTAGATATATAATTGTACACGTCATGCAGTATCGAAATTGTATGTTTGCGATTTGCCGTTACGTAGATACTTGCAACACCAGTGCAATTAATACAGTATGTACTGTTATATTTCATTTTCAATTTGCGAATTACAACCATAACTATATCTAACCAATGCTATAGCAATAGAAATAAAAATACATTAATGTTATTGTTAACTAATGGAAAACAGACCTTTTCTAACAACACAAAACAATTGTCAAAAAGCGGGAGTTCTAACATCAAACAGACGTCATCCTTGAAGTATGGAGGCGAAATATTTTTTAATGTCACGTGCCCCTTTCTTTCCCTCTCTCTCTCTCTCTCTCTCTATACATATATATATATGTATATATATATGTGTGTGTGTGTGTGCGCGGGTATGTTTGTGTGTGTTTTTTCTCTTGATATCATTACCATTATATGTATCATTATTATAATTATCATTATATATAAATAATTACATATGTAGACTCACATATATATACATATACATACAGGTATGAGTATGTATGTATATACATATATCTGTGTGTGTGTCGTGTCTCTGTATGTGTAAACATATATATACATATATACATATACATTTGCTTATATAGAGAGAGAAAGAGTGATAAATAGATATAGATGTGTATATATGTGTGTGTCTGTGAGTGTATATGTATGTGTATATATGTATATATATGTGTGTTTGTGTGTGGATGTATATATGTGTGCGTGTGTGTGTGTGTATGTACATACATGTGTGCATATATATGTATATGTATATATATGTATATATACATGTATATATGAATATGTATATAGACATGTATATGTATATATATACATATATATATATATATGTATGTATATATATATATATATATATATTTATATATATACATATATATATTTATACATATATATACATATACATATACATGTATATGTATATATATATATATATATATATATACATATATATATATATATGTACGTGTATATATATATGTATATATATATATATATATATATATATGTGTGTGTGTGTGTGTGTGTGTGTGTGTGTGTACATTCATATATATATATATATATATATATATATATATATATGTGTGTGTGTGTGTGTGTGTGTGTGTGTGTACATTCATATATATATACAAAAACATATATGTGTGTCTGTGTGTGCGTATCTCTCTTGTTATCATTACCATTATAAGTATCATTATTATCATTATTCTTTCTATTACTATTTTGTATATAGTTCGTTATATAGAGTTCGTTACCGGTGTCAGTATATTATGCCTGCAGTAATTTCATTCAAATGTATCTAAAGTCCATTAAAACTGTATTTTTTAAAGTCATTTTCATCTATGTTGTTGTTATTGTTTTTACCATATCACATATAAAAAAAAAAAAAAAAAAAAAAAAACAATAATAAAAGAAAAGAAAAGAAATCCTTAAATAATGCAATGATTGTGTTATCAGCACACTGTACATTTTACAAACATCCGTAGTTTTCCAGACACATATAAAGAGATATTATTTTGACATACTACCATCAATGAAACTATTATAGTGCTGTAGCAGGTATCATGAAGCCATAAAATTAAGAATTGTTGTAGTAACTTACGCTGTGGATATACATCCATACACAAACACACACATACACACATGCACACACACACATATTCATATATATGTGTGTGTGTATGTATACATGTATATATATATGTATGTATATACGTAGATATATGTATGCATACATAAATATACATTTATACAAATATATGAATACATACATTGATGTATGTATACATATATATATATACATATATGTATATATTCTCTGGTAAAACAAAAATTTCGATAGTAATTCTTAAAAAATAATGTCAAACATTCTGATATTCATTACTTGTTTGTTTGTTTTTTTTCACCTTATTAGACCTTATTCTCTTTGGTTCTCCTAGTGTGTGTGTGTGTCTGCGTATCTTTTATTGGGTTAGTGTTTTGCGCGTGGATGTTCAGTATGTTGTGTAAGCACATGTAACTTATGGTGTCAATACTGTAGATAGTGAATAAAATTGCCTTTGGTTTACATTCATTTTATTTTTCTCAGTCAGGAAGACTTACATCCGGGCGCGTAACTTTATTTCCCATAGCCACCGCCTCCACGGCCGCCACCTCCTCCGCCACCGCTGCCAAAGCCGCTGCCTCCTCCACCGCTGCCAAAGCCGCTGCCTCCTCCACCGCTGCCAAAGCCGCTGCTTCCTCCACCGCTGCCAAAGCCGCTTCCTCCGAAACCACTGCTTCCACTGCCGCTGCCAAAACCGCTGCCTCCGAATCCACCAGCCGAGCCGCCGCTGCCTCCGAATCCACCGCTTCCACCGCCGCTGCCACCGAATCCACCGCTACCTCCGAATCCACCTCCTCCACTGCCACCACCTCCGAATCCACCGCCTCCACTGCCACCACCTCCGAATCCACCGCCTCCACCGGCGGAGAGCTGTCCACTTCCAAGGAAAACTGCGGGGAGCACACTTCCGCCTCCACCGCCGCGACCTCCGCCGTAACCTCCTCCACCGCTGCCGCCGCCGCCAAGTGCATTGCCCCCACCGAATCCGCCAGCTCCTCCTCCGCCAAATCCACCACTTACTCCACCAGCACCTCCACCAAATCCTCCTCCACCTCCTCTTCCTCCTCTACCAAATCCTCCTCCACTTCCTCTTCCTCCTCCACCTCCTCTTCCTCCTCCACCACCTCTTCCTCCGCCTCCACCGCCTCCTCCACCACTACCATATCCTCCTCCAGCTGCAGCAACGTACACCATCGCCATCACGGCCACCATCACTACCTGAAAGTATTTATTTCTCTTTAAATATCCACTATTCTCCTAATGATGTATCCTATACATCTCATAATAAAACTAGTCCTGATTATTAATTAGACTTCTTCAAATTCGAATTAACTTTTCTTTTTGAACAGACACACTAGCTTCCTCACCAATGGGCGTTTTAAAATCATTCTCCGATTTCCTGCCCTACTGTTAAAGGAACAAAGGCAGAGGTAAGAGTGTGGCACTGATGCAGTTGTCCTCATATTTATACAAGGCAGGGTATACTCTCAGTATGCCTTTATGTCTAGCATGTTTTATTTTTTTGTGTGTGTGTTTTTGTTTTTTTTTAGATATATAATTGTACACGTCATGCAGTATCGAAATTGTATGTTTGCGATTTGCCGTTAAGTAGATACTTGCAACACCAGTGCAATTAACACAGTATGTACTGTTATATTTCATTTTCAATTTGCGAATTACAACCATAACTATATCTAACCAATGCTATAGCAATAGAAATAAAAATACATTAATGTTATTGTTAACTAATGGAAAACAGACCTTTTCTAACAACACAAAACAATTGTCAAAAAGCGGGAGTTCTAACATCAAAGAGACGTCATCCTTGAAGTATGGAGGCGAAACGTTTTAATGTCACGTGCCTCTTCCTTTCCCTCTCTCTCTCTCTCTCTCTCTATATATATATATATATATATATATATATATGTATGTATGTATATACATATATATATATATATATATGTATATACATATATATATATGTATATATATATGTGTGTGTGTGTGTGCGCGGGTGTGTTTGTGTGTGTTTTTTTCTCTTGATTTCATTACTATTATATGCATCATTATCATAATAATCATTATATATAAATAACTACATATGTAGACTCACATATATATACATATACATACAGGTATGAGTATGCGTATATATATACATTTATCTGTCTGTGTGTCATGTCTCTGTATGTGTAAACATATACATACATATATACATATACATTTGCTTATATAGAGAGAGAAAGAGTGATGAATATATATAGATTTGTATATATGTGTGTGTTTGTGTCTGTATATATATATGTGTGCGTGTGTGTGTATGTACATACATATGTGTGTGCATATATGTATATGTATATATATATATATATATATATATATATATGTATATATACATGTATATATGTATATGTATATATACAAGTATATGTATATGTATATACATATATATATATATATATATATATATATATATATGTATATATATATATATATATATGTATATATATACATATATGTATTAATATATATACATATATATATTTATATATATATATATATATATATATATATATATATATATATGTGTGTGTACATTCATATATATATATATATATATATATATATATGTGTGTGTGTGTGTGTGTGTGTGTGTGTATTCATATATATATATACAAAAACATATGCGTGTCTGTGTGTGCGTATCTCTCTTGTCATCATTACCATTATATGTATCATTATTATCATTATTCTTGCTATTACTATTTTGAATATATATAGTTCGTTATATAGAGTTCGTTACCGGTGTCAGTATATTATGCCTGCAGTAATTTCATTCAAATGTATCTAAAGTCCTTTAAAACTGTATTTTTTAAAGTCATTTTCATCTATGTTGTTGTTGTTTTTACCATATCACATATAGAACTAAAAAGAAAAAAAAAAGAAAAAAATCCTTAAATAATGCGATGATTGTATTATCAGCACACTGTACATTTTACAAACATCCGTAGTTTTCAAGACACATATAAAGAGTTATTCGTTTTACATACTACCATCAATGAAACTACTATAGTGCTGTAGCAGGTATCATGAAGCCATAAAATTAAGAATTGCTGTAGTCACTTACGCTGTGTATATACATCCATACACAAACACACACATACACACATACACACACACACACATATTCATATATATATGTGTGTGTGTATGTATACTTGTATATACATATGTATGTACATACGTAGATATATGTATGCATACATAAATATACATTTATACAAATATATGAATACATACGTAGATATATGTATGCATACATATACATTTATACA